TGGATGATTACAATTAAATGTTATAACCACAATTAAAATTTTGAAGTATATTTCAGTTTATTATCATTTTCTTCATGAATTTTGCCTTCACTTACAAGAGAATTTACGATGATAGCTGGAAAAGTGTTTACGATCATATTGATGATGAAAATGTAAAGAAAAATTTTAATTTTATTAATTTAAAATAATTTCTTATTTTTAATTTTCAGACACCAGAAAACGAAAGCGACGAAGAAAATAATGAAACATTTAATTAATTAAAAAAGTCTTAATGAGTCTTCCTGAAAATTAATTGTACTTGATCTTCTTTTCCATAAATTCGATCAATGATCACATAAATTCAATTTACTATGAAAATTTTTCTTGGTCAGGTTTAACAACATTATAAAGTCATTTCAGCCTTCGATTCAAGTTCAGCTGTGCTTGTTTTCTTATCAATAAGTAACTATATTAATTACAGTATGATAGAAGCCAAAATTATCTGATCAGTACTTTATTAGTGCTATTAACTTAATCTTTTTAAGTACAAATGTTATAAGTAATCACTTAGACAGAATAAAATTTAATACTTAGTTGGAACCAAAAGACATTCAGACGTTAACAGTTAAACAAAGAGTAGAAGTTGAAACAAAGTCCAATAATTTCGGTAATTAATTTTATTTTAATAGAGTGAAATTATTAATTTAAAGAAAGTGTTGAAATAAAAATATTAATGTATAAATGGAAATAAAATTTTATTTCTAAAAGTGATCTCTAAAGAAAAAAAGTTGTGCAAGATTGATAGTGGTTTAAATGTTATTAAATTTGTTGTCCATCAGAAAAAACTTAGTTTTTAAAAAATAATCCGTGATTAGCATTATCCATCATTTGACAAAACTTATTTGTTGATGAGGTTTACAACCAGTAGACGAAACGTTAGCCAACAAAATAAACTAAGTTGAGAGAAAAATACAAGACTGGACGCCATTTTTTTTAATCTTTAATTATTCATATTCAACACTATTTAAAGGGGTTACTAATATTGAATTGTTGTTCTTATCAAATGAAATGTTAAACACTTATTTTAAGCCATAAAAATCCCCTTTGTGATTGTCAAATCCATCAAAATGAATATCATGTTGATTTGTAATAATTGTGTGATAAAAAGTACAAACTTGAATTACTTTCACGTCGTAATTAAGGTAAATTCAATGAAATTCCTGTAAGATTTCTGCAAAATTGTTTTTAACTCAGCTCAATAAATGAATCATTGCAATTAGATTATGAGCCAAATCTAATCAACACTATTTCTTTTTGTTCTAATTTACGAGTTACTCGGAATTTCGTTCGATTAGAGATTACTTAAAAGTGTATTGTTCTGCTTATTTCATTTAAGCTTTCAGTATTGTGTTTTATCAAAGGAAAATCGTGAAATAACCAAGTTAGAGTTTATACAAACTGCGATAATAACATAACATGTGATAAGATAACAACAATGAAAATACGTGAATGTGTTCGTCGATTTTTCAAGTGTTGAATGAAAATTTCATTGATTGAAGTCGTGTTTAGTTTAGTAAGAGACCGCTGCTTGAAAACATTAAACTAAATTTATTTTCCTTATTTTTCTGTAAAATAAAAACAGTTTTGAAAGAATTAACAACATGTCGAAATTAGGAGCTTGTGTGGATGGAACTTTGAGTAAGTTGCAATGAGATTTTAAATAAATTAATTCTAAATTTACCTGAGAAATTATCAATATTCTATTTTAAAACTTATCTTATCACGTAATAACTTTAGTTGAATAAAATCGAAGCTTTTTCTTTTATCAACTCTTAAGAATGACGTCAATATCCTTTATTTTATTTGATAATATTTTTATTTATCTTCAGCTTGGATTGGCAATAACAAATTGGCGACTTTCTTAGGTCTTGTTGCTTTCTCTTTGATGGTGAGCACATGGACTTTGGGTAATTTTTCTTTTTTAATGTTTTATTTAAAATAAAGTTCGAATAATCACTTTTTCACTTTTAGCTGCCATCAATGTAAATTTGAACAATGAAATTGATGACTTAAATGAAAAACTGAACCCAACTACTACCACAACAGTAGCTCCAACTTCATCAATAGAGGTATCAACAGATACATCAACACCAACAGAGGTAACAACAACAACAGAGGCAGCATCATCAACAGATACATCAACACCAACAGAGGTAACAACAACAGCAGAAACACCAGAAAGAACTGGTTTAGAAGGCGATGGTGGAAACATTCGTTTAAGACGTTCAGCATAAATGTTTACCTGTGCATTTTAAGAAACATCAATCAACTAATATCTTTTGTTTTAAATTCATTGTTTTTGCTGCTGAACAATAATATCTGATAAAAGAGTCATTTACTAACATCCCTCAATTTTTATACTCTCTAATTATAGTTTGATGAAAATCAAATCAATTTGCATTCAGCAAAACTTTTCCAAACATTTTTAATTAAATAAACGCATTGATATTCAATAAACATTAAAAGTTGGTTTAGTCTTGTCACGTCAAAGCATATAGAAAGTCATTTGTAACGTTTTTCTTTAATTTGATTTATTATTGCATGGTTTTGAGCTTTGGGAGCTTTTTATGTGGAGAAATTCAAAGTTTAAGTGTTACAACATTTTGGAAGCTTTTCTTTTAATTATTTTGAATATTTTACACAGAATTTACGATTGAGTGAGTCAGTTTTCCCAATTTATTACGATCTTCTTTTACATCCTGATTTGACGCCTGGTGAACTTGGTGGGGATTTCAATGGAGCTGTTAAAATTACTTTGAACATCACTGAAGAAACTGACGTTATTGTTCTTCATTCTCATGAGTTAACGATATTATCTGTGAATTTCTCTACCCCAGATATGGGTGTCATTGAATCGGTAAATATTTCTGCATATTTTAAATTAAATATTAATTGAATTTATGGGAATATTTTTCTATAATTAGACATACGAACTTTTACCAGAAATGGAGCAACTGAAGGTCAAACTTGACAGCAACATTCCGATTGGAGATGAGTACATTCTTGACATTGACTTCGAAGGATCTTTAAGGGATAAAATTGTTGGATTCTACAGCAGCACATACAAAGATCCCGAAGGAAACGATCGGTAATTTATTTGAATTATAAATTATTAAGCAAGCTCAAACATTTCGAAACGATGAACTGTTAAAAATTTGTGTTGTTAATCATCCAGACTTTAAAAATGCATAAGCAAACATCATTTGGGGAACAAGAAAACTCACAAACCAAAGAATTTGCAAAATTCCGGTTTTTAGGGACAAGTTAAAGAAATATTTGCAAGCAATTCATCAGTTTCAGTTTAAATCTTTTCTCAATAAGTTATAGGAAATCAGTGAAAATCATGAGAATATGTAAGTAAATTTGAAAATATTCGAATTCTTGATTTATATCTTTGAAAATTTGCTGCATAATTAAATTTAACAATTACTAAACTTTAAAATTAACACAAGTTTAATCTCGAAATAAATCTTTAGATTGATCAAACTGTTGAGTGAAATCCAACACAAACAATGCATTGATCGGCGTTGAAGAAGAAATTATTTAAAAACTTTTAAATGTACTTAAATTGCTATTTCTAAGCATAAAATTATTTCTTCATCATTTCCGAATTAATAATGATGAGCTGGAGATTTTCAAGCTGATTGCGTAAGAGAAAAAAAGTAAACTTTCATTATGTACACCCTTAACAGTCTATGAAATTCTTGTTTTAATATTCGATGCACACTTTCTGCGTTATTAATTATTCCAAATTTGTTTACCTTTTATAAGTAGAAGTTCATCTAAATTAATATGTATGAGTGTGAAACGATTTTATGAACTTTAAGTGGCTTAAAATAATGATTCACTTCACTGTCTTTTGATTTGTTTTATTTCTTTTCAATTATATCATCAATAAAGTGATCAATATTGCGAATAATCAATTCAAACATGAATTTCACCTTGCACTACATGATGTCGTAACTGAAGCTGATGGTTAGATATTTATAAGCATCTAAATACATATATATTAATAGTTATGTTGGAATATGTAACACAAGCATTTTCCTACAAATCACTTTCTACCTGTTGCTATTAGCATATTTCGACGTCGTTCATGTATGTTTTTTGTACAATCGCGACGAGAATATTAATAGCAGATTGCGATAGACAATTTTTAAATAACCCAACTTTGGTTCCTGAAAGGAAATACTTTCAAGCAATTGGTAGTTCAAGTTGCTGATCATAATTATTTATCTCAACGTTACAATTTGAATGTGATACATAAATACATAGAAAAAGAAAAAATGCAATTTAGATATGCGCTTTGAAAATATATGTGGCCGAAGGGTGCGAGATGAAGTTTATAAATGTTTAATTTAAAATCAAAAGCAAACAAAATTGTTATGATGATAATCTAAAAATACCAGAAAAATATCTCAATTAATTGTTTCCAACAGAGTTCCCCATCCCGTGTCTAAATTTGCTGAAAAAAAATTATTTACGAAGAGATGGAAAACGAAAAGCACAAAATAAAACAACATTTTATTTAGTTTTATTTTGACGGTCGTTTCGTGTAGACGTGAATTTGAGAACCTCGCCTAAGTTTGAAAAAGTTGAAGAAAAATATTCGCGAGTAAGAAGAGAATTTACCAAGTAAAATTGGTCAGTGTTGAATGTTTAAATAATAATAAGAAGGAGAGAACTATAGAAAAGGAAAAGAGAATGAATTAAAAATATTTTGGAACGAGTTTAGGCTTCTTTCTCTCGTCTCCAACAATAATAATAATCAAATTCAGGTCGAAGAATTAAAAGTTTCGTTGTTATTGGTTTGGTCACAATGAAGATGTTCACATATCTAGTCTCATTCAAATCATAATTTGTTCATTAAACTGAGTCTTTGTTAGTGTTATAGGTTAATGAATTCAAGAATGATCAGTTTTCAAAATGTTTTTCATATTAGTTTCATCAAAATAATCAATTTTGTGCCATATTTAAATATTTCTTCGGAAAAGATTACGTTTTAACATATTAATGAGTATGCACTTGAAATTGCTATCAATTGAAGTTTGTAGAATGCTCATATAAATCATTCTCAGAGTACTTGAAACAATATTAATTTTATGATTGCAAATTTATGATTTGTAAAAGTTTGATTGACGTAAATTCATTCATAATAATTTATCAGAAAGCAAGAAATATCTTGAATAATCACTGATGACTTAAAAATTGAGAATTTCTCAAGTTTCATTATAAAGTCTGAATAATTTAAATTATTTTCCTCTTCTTATTCTTGATTGAGATTTAATGTAACCTCAAGTCATTTCCCTTAATAACGGTTCAGCTTAAACTCTGTGTTTGACTTATGAGATCAATTCCAAAAGGTTTTTTCTATATTGAAATCATTCAAGTGAATAATACTATTGATAACAATTTTTATGATGTCATTACCATTCAACTTTCAAAGTGAGAAATTTACTTTGAATCTATTAAGCATCTGACGAGACAATGTTTATATAAAGTTTAGCCAGGCAGTCGAAATCACGAGTATAATTCTGACTTAAAATTATCTAAATAATTAAACAATGATCGTGAAGCTTAATTCAGCTAACCGAGAAATATATTAGCGTAAATCAACCAGCAAATGAATTAAATTTTCTTATAGAATTCCGACAGAAAAATAGAAGCGTAAAATAATTGTAAAACATGATTGTGTTTGAGTGTAGGTGTGGAAATTCACTTTTGTTTGCAGTATAATTTTGTTACCGTTAAGCCAAGCTCCCCTTGACCTTTTCTTTCGTTTGTGATTTCATTGAAATAGAAACATGAACAACACAGACTACTGATATTGTGATCATTGGCTTCTAGAAAAGAGATCGTCTGCTGTTAAGTTTTATTTATCACATTCATTTACGCAATCGTAATAAATTCCACAATTACTTTCCATTTTAATATTTTATTGCGTTTTTGCACTTGAAATTCTTTCATGGAAATATGAAAACCGGTTATGGATGTAACAATGTGATGTTTCATAAATTTATGTCATTGATGATATAAACATAACTATCAGATATCAATAATAATTCACTTAATTTAACTAATGAAAAGTGTTTATCGTGGCAAACTTTTGTTTCAAGTGAAATACCTTACAGATGAACGAAAGGTTATTTGAGCAGGTGTCAATAAAAGACTCCATTGTAGTTAAAACTTTAATTTAAAAACGTAACACTATTTTTATAGAGAAACTAAATATTTACGTCATGTGCCAATTCATAATTTAGTACTTAAATGTTACAGTCAATAACCTTTGGTTTTAATGCAAATTTATGACCTATAGATAAGTTTAATGAAGTGAGTGACATTTAAAAAAAAAACTCGAAACCCATAATGCGTCTAAAGATTGTGTGAAGAAAATCAACAAACACAAAATAAACCACCAGCATTTAAGTGTTTGACCGTGAGAAAAAAAATTAATGAATAAAATTCACCAACTATGCCAAACCAAAATAATTTAATCCGTCCATCAAGCACGTATAGTGGTACATCAACAATGAAAATTGACAATGCTGAGACGGAACGGAGAAAGAAAAACTCAGTTGTGATCTTAACACTTCTATCGATAATTATTTTTCTCTTCGTAGTATGTAAGTCAACTTTTAACGGTTATTTTATTTTTGAATTTCGAATGATCTTAAAATTTCCCCTCTTTAACATCACCTGAATACCCCCAAATCTGTTTACCAAAATTCGGAATTGCAAACTCATTGAACGATTAATTAAACTTAGTCTTGTTCTCGATTCCTTCCAGCTTTATTGCTTATATGTGCATTGGTTGTTGTCGGGAGAGGATTATCAGGCAAAAGTGATAAGAAGTTTGACGAAAAATCAAACGAAATCTCAAGTATTTCACTGATAAACAGAGCGAATGGTATTAAAAACAAGATTGATACAAGCAATCCAAAGTTTAATAAGAAGTTTAACATGAATATCAGCAAAACAGCTACGAAACTAATCGAAAATTTAACTTTTCGACTTCCTAGTGCAGTCCGTCCATCAAAGTACAATTTACTTTTGAATCCAAATTTAGAGACAAAACTGTTCACCGGCAATGTCAAAATTGATTTTGATGTATTAGAACCAACTAAAATAGTTGCTCTACACTCAAAATTCCTCAATGTCACACCAAAGCATCTGATAAAAAATTTAGAAAATGGAGCAGAAGGAATAGGAATTAAAACTTCATTCGAATTTGATAAGTTTGAGTATTTCATTGTTGAACCAGAATCTGAGTTAGGCATTGGAAATTATACAATCGACTTAGATTTCAAAGGTAGATTAGATGGAAAGATTGTCGGTTTCTACGGAAGTTCTTACTTCGATAAAATAACTAATCGGACAAGGTAATTCCTCAGAAAAGTTTCTTCGTTTGAGAATCTTGAGCTTTATTGTGATTTACTTTTCATTTCTTAATTAAAAATGTTTTACAATTTCCTCATGAATCTTTAGATATATCGCAACAAGCAAATTCGAGCCAACTTTTGCTCGTCAATCATTTCCATGTTTTGACGAACCGTCAATGAAAGCGAAATTCAAAATTTCTCTTATTCGCCCTTCGGGTGACGGCTATTCAGCCCTCTCAAACATGGATGTAGAAAATGAAGAACCTTATGATGAAGGATTAACAAAAGTCAACTTCAAGGAAAGCGTGGAGATGTCAACTTATCTCACGGTCTTTATTGTGTCAGATTTTATTTCTACAAGTGCCACGATTGAACCATCTGTTGGTGATCCATTTCAACTTCGTTGCTTTTCAACACCTGCTCAAGTTAACAAATTGAATTTCGCTCTGAATACATCAATTGATGTAATCAACTATTACATCGATTATTTCAAGATTCCTTATCCATTGCCAAAGCTGGATTTAGCTGCCATCCCTGATTTTGTGAGGTGAGAAAAATTTGATTTCATGCATGAACATTTTTCAACAAATAATTTTAATTCTTCCAGTGGTGCTATGGAGACTTGGGGCCTTGTAACATATCGTGAGACAAATCTTCTCTACGATCCGGCAGTGAGTTCAACAGCCAATAAGCAGAGAATCGCTGCTGTTATCGGACACGAATTTGCGCATATGTGGTTTGGAAATCTTGTAACAATGAAATGGTGGTCAGACTTGTGGCTCAACGAAGGGTTCGCTTCATACATTGAATTCAAAGGAATTCACGCAGCTTTACCAGAATGGAACATGGAAGAACAATTCACAATCGACACCATGCATGGCATCATGAATTTAGATGCAACCCTAGGCTCCCATCCAATCGTTGTTGGTGTTCAAACACCAGATCAAATAACTGAAATTTTCGATGGAATCACTTACAACAAAGGTGCTTCCATCATTCGCATGATTGAAGACTTTATTGGAACTGAAAATTTCCAAGATGGTGTGAGCAAATATCTTGAGGAAAATAAATTCAAAAATGCCGATTCTGACGATTTACTAAAGCAGTTGGAGGGAAAAATTGAAGAAGATGTAACGACAATTGTCAACACATGGATCCGACAAAAAGGTCTTCCAGTTGTTACTGTTCAACGAAGTGGTAACAATTTTGTATTGTCACAAAAACGTTTCTTGACTGACGCTGAAAGTGTTGCTAATGAAACGCTAGACTCTGACTATAAATATCGATGGTCAATTCCCATCACTTATGTTACAAGTGCCAATCCAACAGAAGTTCAACGTCAATGGTTCCATTATAACGTTGAAGATATAACAATTAAGATTGATGAAGAAGTCGAGTGGATTAAGCTCAATAAGAATCAAGTTGGATATTATCGTGTGAATTACGACAGTGAAATGTGGCAGAAACTCAACGATGCTTTAGAAGAAGACATCAACACAATGTCAGTGTTAGATCGTGCACACTTGTTGAATGATGCATTCAGCTTAGCTGAAGGTCTCGAAGTTCCATACGAAACCGCACTTACGATGACAAAATATTTGAAAAATGAAACACATTTTGTGCCTTGGGATGTCGCTTCAAGTAAACTCAAAACAATCAGAAATCTTCTTTACTACACAGATAATCATCGAACATTCAAAAATTACGTCGTTGATTTAGTTGACGAAGCTTTTAAAGAGATTGAATGGGAAGTTAATCCAGAAGAATATTTGAAAAAGTAAATAAATTATTAATTTTATTAATGTTATTTATTTAATAACTTTTATTTACAGCATGATGAGAATCACCATCATTGACTTAGCTTGCACAATGGATCATCCTGGTTGTGTCGCGAAAATGGGTGAAACCTTCCGTACTTGGTTGAACAGTGAAAATTTCGAAACTGAAAGGCCAACGCCCGATCTTCGTTCACTTATTTATTATCATGGAATGAGAACTGTTGGACGTGAAGAGGAATGGAATAAAATGTTCAATCTCTTTGCCAAAGAACAAGACGCAACAGAGAAAACTAAATTGCAAGCAGCTTTAGCTGCAATCAGCGATAAATCGATTCTTAAAGAACTTATTGATTTGGCATCAGCTGATGAGACTTACGTGAGAAAACAAGATTACTTTTCATTGATGGGATCGATTTCAAGCAATCGAAATGGTGAAGATCTCGTGTGGGATTTCGTACGCGATAATTGGGAAGTGCTTGTTGAGCGTCATGGTCTCAATGAACGTAATCTTGGACGCATGATTCCCACAATAACATCACGTTTCACAACCTTATCAAAACTCAATGAAATGAAAGATTTCTTTGCCAAATATCCTGATGCGGGCGCAGGTGCCAACGCAAGAATTCAAGCGCTTGAAGCTGTCGAAAATAATATTAAATGGTTGGAGAAAAACAAAGATTCCATCAAGTTATGGTTGTCCCAACAATAACAGTAATTCAATTTCACAAAAATGTTAAATAATTTAATGAATAAAAAGAAATCTTTGAAATAAAATTTCATTCTTTTCCTCGTTCATGAATACATAATGACTGTCAATACCTCCACCGGACGGAAGCAAACCTTTTCCTATGTTTAATTTTTCTCTTATTCCTTGTTTTGTAAACATAAGAAGGGAAAAGAAGGAAATTATTTTGGTATTTATAGGAAATTTTCTTTTGAATATAAATGCGGGCTTTCTTTGATGAAAATCAATTTTGTGTGTATGCATAAAATATTGTTTTTGCTTCTTGTTTAACTTGGAGTTTATATCAAAAATACCTTTCTATAAATAAGTGAAACATAAGCAACAAACAATCAATTATTGCAACTTTTATAAGTCTTCAATGATAAGGTTCCGATGAAAAATCATATTTTTTTCATGCGCAATTTCCGTTCATTCTCAGTAAACTTTAAAGTCAACAGCGACATGAAAAATTGCCTCATTCATATTTTGAATTATGAGAAAAAATGCAGAGATCAAAATGTGAGTCGGGAATTTTTCAAAGAATTGATGAATGTTCAATGAGTTGGAATTGAATATCATTTTAATAATAATTTTAAGTAAATTTATTCATTTTCAGCACGTGAGCAATGAAAGTTAACAAACAAAACTTGACGAAAACAATTTTTCATAAATTTAATTTCGATTGTTGTTTCAAGCCCTGACTTGTATGCTTAGAGGGAAGAATAACATTTTCCTCCACGCACTTTATATGACTGAACCTTAAATGTTAAACAATTTCATAAAGATGACAGAGATATCAAATGTCAAAGAAAATTCTTTTGTTAAAAATGATTTAAAGTGTTCCCAAATGTATTTAGACAACAAAGATTTCTGTTTTTGTTACTTTAAGTGGTGATTGAAAGATTCTCATGTATTTATTTACTTCTTCATTTTCTCTTAGAAAAGCCTTTTGGAGCATTTTTTGAAGTGTTCTTGCTACCGTCAGAAGTTTTCTTTTTACAAGCATTTTCAAAATCTGTCTCTTCAACTTGAACTTCACGAGTTTCCTTCTTTTTAATTTCCACGTCTGGCGCCTTTGGAGTTCTCATTTCAAGTTCGATTTCACTTCGATGGCCATTCTTGTCTTTATTTTTTTGGCCAAGCTTTAAAACAAACACATCGACATTGGGATCGGAACATCCTTTTTTGCATACTTCAATCCCAGATGGAGTCTTGCATTTCCCTTCGACTTCTCGATCCAAATTATCTTTGTCAACTTGGAGACAAACTGCACGTGTTGTTTGGCTTTTCGATGAATACTTTTCAGTTGCATCAAGCGGATTGCTTTTATCGTAAACATCAAAGTTAATTGGGTCATCAAACTTTCCTGGATATTTTAAATTACCACGAATCACTGGAAGACAAGGCGAGTTCTTAAAACTTTTCCCTAAACACGACGTTTTTTGCTGGAAATTTGTTAAATTAGCATTCGAATTGCATCCGCATTTTGACTTTTGTTTTGTGTCACCGCATGAAAAATTTTCAGGAAATTTAAAATCGATTTGTTGATCGCATCCGAGAAGTGAAACGAAGTTCGCATCACGGTTGATTTCATTTCCTTTTTGATCCATGTTTTCGTCAAACACGCGTGTCACGAGATAAGATTTTCCTTTGTGAATTCGAACAATGAGTTGATTTCCATTTACCTCAGCAGCATATTCATTGTACTCTGATTGATTTGCTTTCGGTGTTGTCGGTTCTAAACATTGCTTTTCCACCATTTCAGCTTTTTCAGCTTTTTCTTTTCTATTTTCTGTTTCTGAATTTATTGTAAGACCGTAGCAAGTCAAGTTTAATGTGTAATTAATTCTACCAACACTCTGACATTTTTCATTCTTTAATTCTGCTACTTCTTGAATGACATCTGAACATGGTTGGCTATCACATGGACTTGTTTTGCCACAAAGTTCATTTTTAATCTTCTGAACTTCAAACTTCTCTTTGAGCTCTAAGAATTTCTGCTTTAATCCACAAATTTTGTAGCTTCCAACTTCTATCTCGTTGCCTTTGCATTTTAATTTACAAGCTAAAAGTTCACCTGGATCATCTTTCTTCATCTCACAATAACCTAAAGTGAAAACGACATGTTTGAAATTCTTAGTGTCGCAATTAACTTGATCTTCATATTCTTCGTCAGTTATTTCAAGACATATTGATGGTTGCATGCGGAAACGTAGAATCGTTGGAAGTGATTCTGGTTCTTGGTCTTGTAAATCTTCTGGATAAATCCACAATTCATAGTCATCGACTGCGTATTCGACTTTGTATAAATATTCTCCAGGCATCTTTGATTTAGTTTCTTACTCTTAATTTTTAATTGAAATAATTTATTGTAATGAATTGGAGATAAAAATTTGATGGGGAAAGAATGAAGAAAAATCAAAAAATGATTATTAAATTACAAAAGTTGTGTATGCTAAGGATGCTGAGATTTTTAAAGATAAATAGACGTGAAGCAAAGTTTTTTGTAAATTAAGAACTTTTTGCTTGTTTTTTTCCTTTTGTAACAATCAAGAAAAACATGAAATCAAGACTAGAATTTAATTCTTAAAGAGAATTTAGGAATTTGTAATTGACAATTAGAATTGACAATTTAGAATCTTTCAAAATAATCAAAATTAAAAAAAAAAAGATTCATTGAAGAAATCAAAGCCTTGAAAAAGAAGAAGCTGGAATAATTTAAGCAAATTGAAATAAAAACATTTCTTTGATTTAAAAGGAAATAAAATCTCTTCCTTGATCAAATGATTAAAACAGAAAAAGTTCTTTAAAAAGAGGGACAGAGAGCGATGGAAATCTGGCATTGTTTTTGTATTTCGAAGAATTAGTTAAATTGCGATAATCTTACGAGAAAAAGAAAGAAAATTGTAACAAAGCTTGATGGAATACGGAAAATGAAAGAAAATTTCTAACAGCTGTTCAAAGAATAGAGAAAAGTTAACGTTGCCTTAAGTATCACGAAAACATGTTTTCTTTTCTAGATTTAATAAAAATAATAATCTCGTATTCCCGATTACAATGCAATTTCAAGAGATTATATTATAAGTTATTATGCACTGTCATGCTACTTCTTTTTAATAACGAATGATATATTTTCATAATCATTAGTACAAATACGAATTGTTATCTGTGAAAGATTTTCTATCTTGAAATTAATTTTTATCTCTAAACACAATCAACATAAACAGATTATCTGGGAATTAAGAAAATAAGTTCTCATGCTTATCTGAAAGATTTTCTAGTTCTTGATTGAAGAAAAAATATCAAGAATACTGATGGATATTACTCATGATTATTATGCCCATCTTATTAGATATTTTGATAATTATTTCAAGGGAAAAACGTTTAGTGATTAGATCATCGAAACGAGATTCTTAGATACTTATAAATGAAATTAGTTATCCAGAATTAGATGGAATTATTTACAAGTAGCTCAACTTATTTTATAAAATTCGTTTAGACTTTGTAATTGATTTCAAACGATTAAATCAAGAGACAAATAAAAATGTAAATTTTCATAATCTGAGAATGAAAATATTTTGAAACCTTTGAATCTCCGTAAATAAATAAAAGTTGATTCATCAAATGTTGTCAGATTTATATAGGGCAATTTTTAAAGTTATCAAGTCAACTAACAGAGTTCAAAAGATTATTTTATAAATATCTGCTTGAAAATGAGTAAAACGACAGTTCGTTTCTGAATATTATTTGAGAACAGTCGCACAGTTAAATTTGTTATAGAGAAATGGAAAATCCATTCGAATTTAGTTTGTTATTAAACATTTTCGTGGCGCTATCATTTATATCATTTGTAACATTTTTAATCTGGATATTTCGACGACAAGATTATTTTAAAAATCATAACATTCCGTACATAAATTCGTTTCCACTTTTGGGATCATACACTGACTCGCTATTTGGTAGAACTTCGTTTTATTACAATGTTTTGGGAATTTGTAATCGAGCTGAGGTCAAAGAAAAACTTTTCTTTGGAATATTTTTGTTTCACAACCCATGCTTGATGATAAAAGAACCTGAAATCATTAAAAGAATTTTGGTCAAGGACTTTCAAAGCTTTAACAATCGATATACAAATTCAGATGTGCACGATGTTCTTGGATATTACGAATTGTTCATTTTGAAAAATCCTCTATGGAAAAAAATGCGCGGAAAGTTGTCGCCATTCTTCACAAGTGGAAGATTAAAGTCAATGTTTTATATTTTGGATAAAATCAGCAATGATCTTGTCGATTTCATTCACAAAAGACTCGATGATGATGAAAAGGTTGAATTGGAAATTAAACATTTAACCGCACTTTATTCGACTGATGTAATTGCTAGTTGCGTTTATGGGATTGATGCAAAGAGTTTGGAGAATCCAAAAGGAGAATTTCGTGAAATCGGTCGACTCATGTTTGAGCCGACATTCTGGCGTATTTTAGAATATACGTCGGTCTTTCTATTACCACAAATCACCAAACTATTTGGATTCAAAGCGTTTACAGAAAAAGGAGACAAGTTCATTAGAGAGACGGTTACACAAGCGATGATTGAGAGGGAGAAAAGTGGAAATAAAAGAAATGATTTGATTGACACTTTAATTGAATTCCAATAGACATCGATATATTGATGGCTCAAGCGGCAGTGTTCTTCCTTGCAGGTAAATAATTAATTTCTATCAGAAATCAACATAAATAATTAAATATTTTCTTAAGGCTACGAAACTTCAAGTACAACTAATGCGTTTGCCATGTACGAGATTGCAAAAAGCAAAGAAATTCAAGATCGCCTTAGAAACGAAATTCGAGAAGTTCTTGTAAAAAATGACGGTAAAGTGACATACGATTCGATAATGAATGCAACAGAGATTCCTTATTTGAATCAAATAATCAATGAGACTCTTCGATTGTATCCGATTTTACCAATCCTTGATAGAGTTTGTACAAAATCTGATGGGTATTCATTGGAACCTTTTAGTGACTTTAAAATTCCTTGTGGAATGCCAATTCATATTCCGGTTTATGCAATTCATCTTGATGAAAAGAATTTCCCTGAACCTTTGAAATTTGATCCTGAAAGATTTTCCCAGGATAACATTCAAAATATCAAACCGTTCACATTCTTCCCATTTGGTCATGGCCCACGAAATTGCATCGGTGAACGTTTCGGATTAATGCAAGTGAAAACTGCCATCGTAAAAGTTCTTAAAGATTTCAGATTGGAACCATCACCACGAACGCCAATGGAAATTGTTATAGAAAAGAAAGCTTTCTTGATTCAATCAGACAAAGAATTGCTTGTGGATTTAATTAAAGATCCTTTGTATTGAATTTATTTGTTTTTGAAAATATCAAAAGATTTTATTTTGAGAAGTTCATCAAAAATTTTCAGAAAACCTTGAGGCATTGACAATATAAATAAGAACATTAACCTTTAAGAATGTTTTATTTTAATTAATTTTATTTTTGTTCTGTTCATTAGACATAATTATTTTAACAGTTTATTTGAGTAACAAATAATACTTTATCTTTAGAAACAGGAAGACTTTTAAATAATCTTTCAACTTTCTTTTTGTAAGTGGATAAATAAATATTGTAAGTATGTTTACATACATAAATATTTATAACGATTCTCATTCGTATAGAAAATTTCATCTGAATATTCAAAAGATAAAAAAAAGCTTCTTAAATCTTACATTAAACAACTAAAACATCTTTGGGCTGATTAAACAGAAATGGAATCTGTTTAAAGCTGATTTTTTTTCAACTTCGATAGCGATAGAAAACATTTCAGAAGAGAGATATAAAAACTTGAGCTAATGATTGTTACATAATCAGGCTTTTTTTACATAAAGAAATCAACAAAATCTAAGAATGTTGATGTATCATGTACGGTAAATTTATCCATTAATTACACCGTCGTTGTAGCACATCAAGAAGTCAACTTTGGTAAATGTCGACCTCCATTTACTTCAAACATCATTTGGGTGAGCTCTGAGCTAGTAAACTCATCTTCATCAACTTCTTTTAGACTCGAGTTACTGATACTTTCCGACGAGATTACATTTTTAACTTTGGGATTGTTATTTGTTGTTACCATTAGATTTGCATCTGGTTTAAATATTAAAACTTTTTTAAGCTTCTCAGTAAACGAGTTTCGACGTCGATTTTTATCATTCTGAATTGTCATATCTCCATTCATTCTCGTACGATCTTTATAAGGATTCTTCATTTTCATAGTTTTATCTTGACTTATTGTTGATGTCGTTGTGAATTGGCTGCACGAAAAGTTATTTGCCTCGAAGGATGGGGTGAAAGTCACAATAGATTGATAAGGATGAACCATCATAAATGGCGAAACGTCTTCAGCTCTACAACTGAAATTTCCAAGTTCATCTATATTTTGTTCATCTTTGCTATGTAATATCTCACTAGTAGGTTGCGATGGGATGATAAATTGATTTCGATTCAATGTTGTCATACGTCCAGCTTCAAGGGCGCCAAATTTCATTGATAACGCACTGTAATTGCTGTCCCCCTGAGTCTTTTTCGTTGATGGTGTTCGACTTAAACAGTGCACCACAAGTGTCAACTATAAATGAAAATAACGAAAGAAACGCTAATTTGATCATTTTATATAATCTTTCAAGCATTAAATATGATTCGCTTGTCACTAATTGGATGTTATGCTCCGTTCATTTGATTCACATTAATAAAAAGAAAATGATAAATAAAAAGGGACCACCTAAAGAAATTGACTGAAAATTATGACGAGGATATTTATCGTTTTGATTTAATTAATCACGTTCATTCAAAGCACAAAAAAGCATTTAAATTGGAAAATGTCCAGAGTTGCTAAGATTCGCTTCAATTATTCCTTTTTTTGTAACAACAGGAGCTGTTAAGCTTTTAAGTCTGTCCTAATCTTACCTTCGAGGCGTTCCTAAATTTCTTACTCATAATGTTGTACAAAAATGGATTGATGCAAGTTGAAAGAAAATAAGAAATTCCAGAAATGTACGTGAGGGCGATATAAACCCGCATGAAAAGATCGTCACTGCTGAATGACTTTTTCATTATTTTTCCATAAACAGCCATGATTCTTTGCGCATGAAAGGGAGCCCAGCATAGAAAAAAGGTCACAACCACAGCCACTGAAAAAAAAAACCAACGAAAAATTAATTTCCTTGTTATTCATAAATATTTTCACTAAGAATTTTGTTAATTGTTACCTAACATTCGAATAACACGACTTTGTCCTTTTATACATCTTTGTGAGTCGCAACTTTTGGTCTTCTTCCCATAAAGCAATTTACTTTGCCTTAGTTTTATTCCAATTAAAATATAAAGCACACAAATCACCGTCATTGGAACGATGAAGAAAAGAAAGCTGCTGATTTCGAAGGCATGCTCAAAGAATTGCGTCTTCACCTGTATTTATACAGAAAGTTAATTAATTTTCGATAATTAAATAAATGAAAGTAATTGAAACTAAACTATTTAAATTAGCAGATTGAAACCAGATATATTTCCCCTCAGACAGAAAAGAAACTTCATGAATTCCCACAAAGCCTTGAGGCTTAACAGTAACAACAATAAATAAATATTCTAAATATTAAAGTCACGCCATGATAAGATGTTTACTGAGTGTCATAAATGACATATTAGAAAATTCAATTTCGAGAACAATCACACAACATAATCATGAGAAGGTTTTTGGGTTGCTTCCATATTTCATTTATCAAAGTTGAAGTACGGATTTCATTAACTCGTGTTGAGAATAATTGATTACACATCCAACCGCGTTTGTACAACCATTAGGCATTTTGTGTAACGTTCTTTTAGAAACATTTCGATTGTGTTGCTTGAGGAATGAAGCTTTAAGTGATGTGTAATGTTTAATCATCTGATTTCTCAAGGTCGCAGTTAATGCGATTCACATTCACAATTTATTTGACTATCTAACAAATATTAGTGAACATAAATACCGTGCATGAAACGCCTCCATAAGATGCTACCGTTCCGAATTGAAATGCTTGTGGCATTGCTAATGCAAATGCTAATATCCATATCGCCATGATAAATTTTACAACTCGTGAAAGTTTTGACATTGTATGAGATCTGAAAATGGAATATAAAATACCGTCATGGGTTTTCATGAAATTAATGTAAGTATAAGTGTAGGAATGTTACAGAAAAGGAAGAAGATTCTTTTTTTCCCATTGTTTAGGTACAGACATTAGTAAAAGTTGAGAAAACATTTCTTTATAATCCAACATTTGTTAGAAGACCTTCTTATCATTCATGCTGCAAAGTTTTTCTTTTCATACGGATTTCTTTTTTGTTCTGTGATTTTTGGCCCCACTTTGAAAGATGTTTTTGATACTCTCAAGTGATTTGTTAAGAAAATGATATCAAAATGAAATCGTTAGACATTCGGAGATGAATTAACAACAGAGACAAAATATTTTTTATTTAAAATTTCCCCTGACACGGCAATGCATTGCCGTGGTTTTGTTATCTTCTTCAAGTCAGGATTCTTTCCGTTCAGAAGATTAAATGTGCGGGAAACTCAAACTCTCGACGTGCTTCAGCCTTGACACCCATCATCATCAACATCATCATCTCGTCTTGTCTCGTAGTAGATAAAACATTGATTCTTCTAATTTATAGCTTCAATTCTACACTCTACATACGAAATTGCATAAATTACGAGTTCGACAAAGTGGGAAACGTAAGCTAATATTGTCATAATAATTCACGAAATCGTTGACTTGTGAAATGAAAAATATTTCTTCTTAAATACGTGTGGGTGTCTACACGAGTAACTTGATGTTTTAAATTCAATTAAAAAAAAATTTACTGCCATTAAAAATATTTCATGAAGAAGAATTTTTGTCGTTGCAATTTTTTTTCTTTTTCATTGGTATTCTAAATAATTTTGATGAGGTTGAATAAAATCAAAAGAAAATCGTTTCGATATATGAGTATGAAGCATCGACTAGAAATGAAAAAAGTTTGAATGAATTAATCTTCTTCTGACTGACTGTGTTGCTAAATTCAAGCCCTGTTTAATAGCAGAGAGAAACGCTCAGAAAGGTTCATGTGATGCTCCACACAAATGTATTTGTATTTGATTTAGGACTGGGTTATGCTGAAGGGTTTCTTTCAAAAGCAAAATGACATTTGTGTCAACATCTTATTTAAACTCAATGAAGACTTAAAAAGCCCTTCAATAATCTGTCGTAAGTAATGTTTATTTTAGTTCCGTCATTGCTTTTCTGTGTTTAAAGTGAAAATTTTAACGCGGCAATTTTGATGAGATTCGACAATCATCGTCACAAAAAAGATACTCAATCGACAACGCCGCCCTCAACTCCCCCACTTGTTTGTTCTTAAAAGCATTTTCTCTCCTTCTCTTTAAATATTACAAGACTTAATTTATGAAAATTTCCTCATAATTATATCATTCAATTTGAAGTAGGACATAAAATGAGTTGAACATTTTCAAACATGTTACGTGTATACATACGAGATTGATAATTATGATTGAGGACAAATGAAAAGATGACAATCATGACCCATTCATATATTATTCTCACCTGAAAGGATGACAAATAGCGATGTACCTTTCGCAAGTGAATGATGTGATCGTGAGGATTGTTGCGTTGGTGGATGTTTCTGATAGAAGTCCTTGAAGTATGCAAACAATTTCATCGAATGGATAAGAATTTGGTAGCCAGATGTTCATAAAATCGAATGGCATACCTAAATTTAAAATTATTTCAAAGTAAAGAAAAGTTTCTGCATGAAATATTTTTTTTCTCTGTTCAATAGGTAAAAAATTCAATCAAAAAAAAGCTTCAAAATGTTTACATTTCGTGAACCTTTTTTCTAGCGTAAGTTTTTCCCTATAAGAATAATAGAATAATGATAATAAATTGCGTGAGTTACAAAATACTCTTTGCAAAAAGGGAAATGGGTCAATGATACGCTGAATTGGTAACTCAGTAACTCGGTGAAAATTTATGGAAATTAATGCGAAAATGTTCACATATGTATGTTTGACAGTTTTAAGCTGTAAAAGTATTAAAAAAGATGTTTTTGAACATTGAAATAAAAAGTGAACGTTCATTAAATATAACACATGCTTAAATACTTTTATTTGACTCACCGAAAATGAGAACAAGGAAATCTGACACTGCCAAGTTGAAGAGGTAATAATTTGTTGCTGTGTGCATAGTCTTATTCTTAGCGATCACGATGCATGTAATAACATTTCCCAAAATGCCGGTCACAAAAATGACAAGATAACAAATGCTAATTGGGAGAATGATTGATAAAGGATCTCTGTAACCGACTTCATCCTTCACAGTCTCGTTGACAGATTCAGGTGAATTTGTGAGATTTATTATTGGATCAGGCGTAAAAATGATAAGAACACTCGAATTAAGGTTCGACAAATTTTCTTTAAATTCACTGATTGAATTGCTAAATTGATCCACCAAAATCACATTTGCACTGTCATCGTCATCGATGTATGTTGAAGGGAATGTGTTGACGTAATCCATCACTGTTTAGGCTTAAAAGTGTTTTCCTTTCGTTAATGGCCCACATAAATGACAGCAGTGCGACTGATTCAATGACGTTTCTTCATTCTTCTCTTTATTTCATCACGTAAGTAATCCCGATATTTATAACCCGTGAATTTGTAAAAAGTCAGTTCTGGATGTTTTAGTCGACTAAACCTTTTTTTCTTGGAAAATTTCTTTTTATTTAATTTTTTGTTTTTCTTCTACAAACAAAACAAGGGAAAATTGTTTTGTTCGAAGAGAAAAAAGTTTCACAATTATTGAATTTCATAAATGAATTCTTCACAGATGTTCTCTCACATTTTATTCGCTAAACGGAATAAATTTCATTTGAAGACTCTTAATATAATGCTTTCCGTTATCATTTATTATGTCTTGCTTTTGATAAATAGCTCGGTAAAGCAATTTTATGCTTGAATACTTTTATTCTTCTAACTTGGTCAGCTATGGGTACACGAAGGTCAGGAAAATTTCAAAATCTCGAGGGAAAAATTTCTTTTTTGTGTGAAAATTGTTTTTGAAAGAAACATAGGAAATTAAAAAAAATTGTAGCGTTGAAAGTGAAAAAGTATCCGTTAAGAAACAATTTAAGTCTTGTTAAGAGCTTGTCCCAATCAAAAGAAAAAAAGAAGTTAAAATGAAACTGACTGCTTTCAACAAAAATAAAAAGATCGGAAGTTATCGAAAACTTTTTGAAATTTTCTCATCTCCTTAAAAAGGTTTTTATGTTAGAAACTGAGGGTTGTTTATGGTAAGGTCAATGGTAAGCTTTTAACTTCACACTTTTCTCCTCAACAATTTATTTTTTCTTTGTAAATTTTCTTCTTAAGTTATTGTCTGTTGTCAATCAGCACTTCACTCACTTAACAATCTGGCAGATGGTTTTCCATTAAACACTTTGTCTATTATTGAGTGGCTCTATCGATGCTTTTGTTTCATTAATATATATAAACAAACAATGATAAGTCAGTTATTTATATAACATTAATTACCAAATATTGTTGTTTAGCGATGAAATAAACACGTGTAACTAGAAATATGTTCTGATTATTTATTATTTCGACGAAATCTATGAATGAAGCTTGATGCTGGATATTTCCTTTCACTGTTTTTCAAAAAAGTTTCAGTTGAGTTACAGGAAATAATAAACGAAAAATGTTTCTTCTTTCTTAAATGTAATTTGAATATTTCTTCTTCTTTTGATTCTTGACTTTAAACAAAATTTTCACAAACCAATGCAAAAAATTTCCTGAAGGCTCTTAAATTTTTTTTCCTTCCTTTTTTGTATTATAATTAAAGAAAATAACTTTTTCACTAATAATATTATTTTTAAATTCACTTTATTTTATTTCCTGGAGAAGGTAATTTTTCCGGTTTTCACGTTAACATATCCATGCAGGTATTTGAAAAAATTGCGATCATCAAAATTTTCTTTGTTTGCTTTCGCTTTTCAATTCATTTGATGTTTTTCTTTCACTTTTTTTCTTCTTTCTTTGTACAAATAATTTGCTTGCTTTGAAGTCTTCAAAGTATCCCGAAATCACAAATTTTCTTGCTTTTATTTTCTAACTTACTCCGGCAAAGCCTGTTCCGAAACTGATCTCATGATATCACATCATGAAAAGTGAAAGCAAAGATAATTGTGAGCGAGAATTTTCACGAGAGAAAAATTGGAGAAAATGCAATGAGCAAGAGAATGAAAAGTTTTTTGTTTCTCTCAAATTCTACAAGTTTCAAGGAAGGTTAGACAGGGAAAAGAATCTCAGGAACTTCTAAGAGTTATTTTATTGTGAAAAATTAATGTCAATTAAGATCACGAAAAACGAAGCTATTTGTCTTCCGAATTTAAAGACAACAATGTTAAGTTTGGAAACGAAGTTTAAAGACGATATTTCAGGAATTAGATTTTTAATTCACTCGCATTATATAAATCTGGAGATTAAAGCACATACTGAGATTTAAGTTCATTTTATTAAAATGCCTTCAGGTCATTACTTAAATGGCAGATTTAAAAATTCCTCGTTAAACTAATGAAAACAAAAGTTTCGTAGTTAAAAAAATCATCAATTCCTGGGAAAAACTCATCAAAATATCCATTTAATTAATGTGAATAATTTTTCCTTACTCGGACTATGACCCTATGAATTCATTTTTTGAGCATGCTTCGGGCTTTTTTGTTAGAAGTTAATATAGCAAATTTCCTGTGAAACGGAATGTACATCTGACACTTTCCTATCTAGAAGAGAGAATTGTTGGTAAACGAATTTCTTCTTTTTAGTCACTAAATCTCTAGAAACACGTTTCGCCAGAGATTCCCTGAGATATTTTGTTACACGTAAAATCAAAGCATTATTCGTATCCATGAATGCGTAAGAAATTTATTTTCCAGATAGTATTTTTGCCTTTATTTCAATCATCAAGTAATGGACATATCAATGACTATGATAAATAAAATGTCAAGAGATTTAAACAGTTTTGAACAGCAATAAATAAATATAAAAATATATCTCGCTGAAAAATATATTTGCAATTCAAATTTGTTTTCCGAAAATATCTGTTGAATGTTTTCGTGTTAAAAATGTTTTCATCTAAATAACAATATTCGAAGCCATCGCAATTGAATGAAGTTAAAGTTGAACTCTTCTTTTTACCTTTCCTTTCGAATACTTGATGAGATGTTTTATTCAAGTTCAGTTGAAGATTTTTCTCACAACAAACGTTGAAGCATTGAACTTGAATGTTTTTTGAAAAATATTTCGCAATCACTTCTAAATTACCAAGTAAAATGAATGCATATATTCGTTCAACTTAAACAAGATTATTTTATAAATTCATTTGCTATTTAAGCGTGTTTGCCATTACTGTTTCACTTAACAAACGGCAGATGTCGATAAAATGTAAATAAAAAGTGTGGAATAATTCATAAGCGAGCAATTATCAAGATTAACAAGCAAAGTGAGTGCCAAAAAATGACTTCCCAAAACATCAGTTGTTTGTTGAGTCATGAGATTGATTAAATTTATTTTCTCAAACAATCTCTGAAAACTTCTATTTAATTATTTTCAACAATCATACAAAGTACGATTTAAATAGAGGCGATGAAAACTTCATGATCATCCTAATAAACAGAAAAGAAATTAATAATTTTGAGACTTTCTATACAATTAATATCTACATTTTATGTAAATATTATGATAGAAATATAACTTAGATATTTTAATTCGCACTCAATATTCGTGTTGTTTCTCCCACGCCCATGTAAAGAACAAGTAGCTTTAATCTTGACTTATAAATATCTACACCAGAAACGTTTTCGTACAAATCAAGATTTTCATCTAATAATATTCAATTTTCCTAAAGACATCCTGTTCCCTAACATAAAATAGATTTTGGCTTCTCCACCAGACATGCAATGCGAAATTCTCGTTTGTTTACAAATTTTTTGCTCAGGTATTTAGCATACCATTCAAAAATCTTTTTTTTTTGTAAACAATTCAATTCGAATAAATGAAATATTTAGAAGAATATTTGGAAAATATTTATCAAATGAACTCGCACGAAATTCTATGAGGGATGAAGTAATTCTTTGAAATTATCACTGTAATTAAGAAGAATGGAATTTTAAATACCTAACGTGGAATTATGTTAATTACTTTCTATTAAAATGACAACAACATCCCGAAATTTTTTTAATTGAGCAAATTATTTTCAAATCTAACAAGATGTAAACAAGTTTTCAACAAATTATGTTTCTTTGAGATTATGCAATGATCTGAACATGTAACTTGCTTTTGTAATCAAAAATATTTTTATACCTTTCAACCTTGACTAATTGCTATTCAGTGAAAAGCTTTATGGAATCAACATCCTCGTTTTTTTGCTGAGGGTTGTTTTTCTCTTGAAAACGATAATTGAAATGAAATGGGACAAAAAATTGTAAACTGGTATACAATCTTGTACTCACGCAATCGTTGTAGCAAAAAAATGTTCAGAAAAGCGTTCTTGGAACTGTTTCATAATTTAATTTCATAGCCTTTCATATGATCTCAAATAAATTTATTGACAAAGAAAGAAGCTTTCAATGACAGCAACCACTCAATTAGCCTTAATTAGCAGTACATTCAAACTCGAACATTTAATTCAAATTATTTTCCAAACCCCCCCCCCCCCCACCC